CAGCCCAGCAGCTGCTTTGGGTAGAGCCTGGCCAGGAAGAGGGAGGGCACCTAGGATGCAGTAGGAGGTCTTGGAGAGCTGGGGATGGAGTAGGTACCATCAGGTTCTCAAATCCCTCATGTGACTTCAGCTGTGGTCTCACTTTGACATGTGCTCTCAGGAAACATTCCCTCAGCCACCTCCACCACCAGGGTGAGACCCCACTCTGCCCCTCCAGCCATTGGCATCTCCCTTTCCCATGATGGAGCAGTCCAGGGAGGTGATTAGATCTCAGCCAGGAAGTTTGAGACCCTCCATCAGCTTCTTGTGTCCCCCCAGCCACCAAAACCCCAACTCTGTGAGCAGACCAGGGGGTTTGCAGGTGTCCAGTTTAGGACCTCTTTGCAGACAGCACTGAGCTTGCAAGGGGCAGATGTATCTCTTCCACGTGCCCTTTGCAGACCTCCATTAGGAACCCACCAGGCTCTCCCCCTCACAAAGCAGAGCCTTCTCCTTCCTCTGTGATTCCTGAGGGGATAACACCCAGAGGATGCATCATATATCAAAGTTGCCTCTTTTCCCTGCAGATCCCCCCAGCAGAGAGCACATCCCAGTTCCTCATCCACCCACCTCCATCCCCAGTGTACCAGGGACCCCCTGGGATGGGGCACGTGGCAACTGGGCCCTGTTTGTGCCAGGCTTTGAGAGCTCTCATAGCTGCTCACACCTCTGACACCTGCCCCCACCCCTGCTGCAGCCCAGCCAAGCTGCTGCTGGGGGCTGGCTGGGGGCCCCCTCCTCTCCCCACCACATCAGACACTCAGGTGCCTCAGTGGCATCTGCCCACGTGTCCTGACGCAGAGGCGACGGGCAGGATGGGCCAACCCATTCCTGACTTGCCCCAGGCTCTGCCACCCTCACTCCAGCAGTGCTTCACTCCACTTCTGGGTGCCAGGACAATCCAGGTCATCCCACTCCACCTGCCAAAGTCTCCTCAGCCTGTTTCCAAGGAAAACAGTCTTAGCCTGAGGTTTGCTTGGGGTTTTATGCTCCCCAGCACCGACCCCTGAGGGTCTTGACATCCCTGTGGTAACCAGTCCCTCAGGGACTGCTGAGAGACACCTAGGAAAGTCCAAGTCCACACTGGGAGGCAGAGAAGCAGCAGGAGAATGTAGATTTGCAGTGAAGCAGGAGTGATGATTAGAGGGATGGAACAGATCTGATATGAGGAAAGGCTGAGAGAATTGATATTGTTCAGCCTGGAGAAGAGAAGGCTCCAGGGAGACCTAGTTGTGGCCTTTCAGTACCTGAAGGGAGATGACAAGAGAGGTTGAGAGAGACTATTGACAAGGACCTGGAGTGACAGGACAAGGGGGAATGGATTCAAACTGAGAGTAGGTTTAGATTAGGTATTCAGGAAGAAATTCTTCCCAGTGAGGATGCTGAGGCACTGGCACAGGTTGAGCAGAGAAGCTGTTGCTGCTCCATCCCTTGGAGTGTTCCAGGCCAGTTTGGATGAAACTTAGAGCAACCTGAGCTAGTGGAAGGTGTCCCTGCCCATGGTAGAGGGGTGGCAATGAGATGACCTTTAAGATCCTTCCATCCCAACCCATTCCATGACTCTCTGATGCTGCCTCCAGCCCTGAGCAGCATCTCTGCTGTGCCACATGCACAGAGCATCCACAGGGGCAAAACTGGGGTGGGAAGCTCAGCCTGTCTCAGCCACAGCCAGTCTCACACACATCCTGCTTCACCTGCAGCCCAGGTGGCCCAAGCTAGTGGCCAAAGGTGGCAGAGCCGGGAGCAGTGTGTGTGGCCAGGTCCCTGTCCCCATCCCGGGGGTGCAGGTGGGGACAGCTCTGCAGGGCATTTCCCAGCCGTGCTGCAGCTGCCTCCTGCAGAGACACCGTGTGCTCTGCGGTTTGGAAAGTCACTTGTCTGGGCCGGAGGGAGAGCCGCGGTATCGCTTCTCAAAGCCGCCCCAAGACATCCACTGCCTCGTGTTTCCTGCCCTCCCTGCCGGGGCTGCCAGGGGATGCCAAACCTGCAGGGTTTGCAGGCCTGCCTGAAATATTTGAGCGTCATTTGGTGCAGGGGGAGGAGCTGGAACTGACTCACATCCCCAGCCCGTGGATGCTTTCTCTCCCGCTTCCCAAGCTGCCGCCGCACATTTTTCCTCCGGTTTCTTCAACGTGAGAGCTCCCTGCCCTACTTTTCCCAGCGAATAAAGCTCTGCAGCCGTTTGCTTTTTTTGCTGCTACAAACCCCAGGGTTCGAGGCTCTCTGAAATGCTCATTTTGGGAGCTTTGCAGAGGTCCAAGGCTCAGCCCTGGGAGCAGTGAATCACTGGGGTGGTGTGGGCTGGGAGATGCAGTGCCCGTGTGGGTGAGTTAGTTCACTCGCAGGGAAGAGGCTCACAGAGCCAACCTGGTGAGAGACACCACGTTCCTGGAAGGGATGTGAGTTGCTGCAGGCAGAGGAGGTGCAGCTCTCAAAGACTACCACCTTCAGCCCATCTGCCTCGCTGTTCTGGCTCTATTGCACCTGCACTGCAGCTCCTGCTAACGTGAACTCTATATATCCTGGAGCACTTGGGCTTCCTAGCAAGGGGTGAGGTCCCTGTGGGGTTTAGAAGCCCACTCAGCTTCCCTAAGGGGCACAGTGACAAAGCACACTGCTCCCTGGAGACTATTTCCTAAGTTTCCAGCCCCGGGAAGTGACTAGAACTTCCCTGGAAGGGAGATGAGAACCACCTGCCTGTAGCTCCATGACCAATCCCTGCAAAACAAGCCCACCCTGCCCAGGGTCCTGTGCAGAGCCCTCTTGTCTTCTCCTCTGCACATGGGGCACAATGGTCCTGATGTGGCTCCAGCCTTGGAGCAGCTCCAGCATGGCCATCCCCATCCCTGGAGACAGGGGAAGGGAACACAACCCAGGAAGGCAGTAGGGCTTGAAAGGCACTTGTGAAACACAGCAGAAAATGGAGATTGTGTCTGTCTGTCCCCAGCAGCTTCCCCCAGCCCACGCCAGGCTCCAGCCCCGAGCACAAGGCCATGCTGCCACCCCGTGGCACTGGCAGCGTGAGGCTCCCCGGGCTGGCTGAGCTCCAGCATCCCCAGCATCCTCCCAACCCTCACACATTTCCATCCAGCTGGACAAAGCACTGCCCCACTCATCCTCCTTGACCCTTCCACCCTGAACCTGTCAGCTCTCAGCACACCTGAGACAGCACTGGCTGCAGTTTTCCCAGACCATTCCACAGGGAATGAATACACCTGGGGGGTTCCCAGCTCACCCCATGCCCCTCATGGCACTGCTGGTCTGAAATTGCCCTCCAGAGCCCAGAGGTTCATGCCTTGAACATCTAAACCTGAGCATCCTGCAGACTTGGGCCCTGGGCTGCCAGGACAGTCACACCTCTCTCCCACAGACCTAGGTGTATCTGCTCATTCCCAAGGTGCATCTCCTGCCCAGACTCCAACCCAGCAAGCCTGGAGGATAATTATGAGGCAACTCATGGGCTTTGATGTTCACCAGGGATGTGTGAAAGTCATGGTCAACTCCCTCCTCTGCCTGAGGACCTGCTACTCCACCTACCCAAAAGGAGGCTCCAACCTCCAGGCCTGGGGCTGAAGCACTTTCAGCTCTTCCCACAGAAGGTGATCTGTACCTGAAGGCACCTACCAGAGTTCAGAGCCCACCAAGAACTTGCTTGGATATGGTCTGCACTGAGCAAATACTCCACACATCATCACATCTGCAAGTGCCCAGGAGAAACGTGGCTTAAGGCTCCTTTCTCTGCAGGGTTTAGACCCAACACTGCAGCCCCTAGTCCCAGCCCCTCTGTGCTCCAGGCTTCTCCCACCTCACACCTGCTCCACAACCCTGCAGGAACCCATGCTCTGGTTGACCTGGAGCACTTGGCACTCATTTTTTGGGGCCAGCTCTACAAAGCAGAGCAGGACAGAGGATGTCACCTCTGTGCTCTTGGCAGGGTCACTCCCTAGCTGCTCTCATCCCAGACCAAAAGCAGTTTTCAGGCTGTATTGGTTTTCTACTACTTGTCTACAAAACTCAAAAATTGAGCTTTCCAGCTCCAGCATTATCCCAGGAAAAAAAAAAAGGTTATTTCAGAGCTACTGATGGAGGACTCTGAGCTTTGTGATCAGCAGCTGCTGCTGAACTGGAACAAATTGAGAGCCATCAGCTAAGGAGGCCAAATCCCTCAGGAGCCCATGAGATGCAGATCCAAGCTGACACTCAAAAGTCAGATCCCTAGAAATATGAGGGTGGGTGTTTCCACCCCTGCTGTCCATCCCTCCCCTCTGCAAGGCCCAGTGCTGCCTCCCAACCACTCCAGCAATGGGCTCATCCTGCTCCACCTGCCCTGGAGCCCAGCAATGGCCAGTGGAAGGTCCTGCCCACTGTTACACCCCTCATGCAGGACCTGCAGGCTCAAAGCACTGTGACCTCCCAGTAGCCACCTCCACAGGAAGCACTGACCATCACCATACCAGCTGGGAGCTGCCCAGTACAGATCACTCGTTCCCAGGGCAGTATCTCCCTCTCCAGGCAGGAATGTGGCCCCATGGCACAGGCAGTGACACAATCGTAGGTTCCAAAGAGTCTGGCAGAGGCAGGGAGGCCTGGGAGGCCCCCAGCACACCACCCTGAGGGTGAAAGCAGGGATGGAGCCCTGCACAGCTGGACCCAGCCCTGCCCAGGCAGTGTGATTTATTGACACAGCTCTATCCCAAATCTCCTCTTTCCCACCCCAACTGTACAAATGCTTGTGCAGTATGATTTAAACACCCTCCCCTTGTCAAGGCTCAAATGAATGTCTCTGGGCTGTGTGGGGTGGTGGAGTCCAGAGGAATCGAGTGAGGGGAGCGGAGCCAGCACACTCCAAGTCCAGCCTTGATCCCTACACACTACAGCTAAGAGGTTTAGGAGTGGTGCCCCACGTGCCCATAGGCTCTCCCACGCAGCACTGGGATCCTCCAGGCAGCACAGGAGCCCTTTTAGGTTTTGATGGCTGTGTCTCGGGACTTGTAGGCCACCCCACGGCTCTTCAGCTCTCGGACGATCCCTGCAGCGAGGAGACAAACACACTGCAGTACTCTCAAGGCATGAGGAGCCCCGGAAAAATCTGATTGTAGAGATCAAGAACTGGACAGTCATCTTTATTTCACAGACTCATGGAATATTCAGAGTTGGATCCTTGAGGATCATCAGTCCAACCTCTGCCCTGCACAGGACACCCCAACAACCCACCCTGTGCCTGAGAGCACTGGCCAAACACTCCCTGAGCTCTGTCAGGCTTGGGGCTGTGACCACTGCCCTGGGGAGCTGTTCAGTGCCCAAACATCCTCTGGGAGAAGAACCTGTTCCTGATAGCCAACCCTAACCCTCCCCTGACACAGCTCCATGCCATTCCCTCAGAAAAACAAGAGAGAGACAGAGTTATGTTCTTCTAATAGAACAGTTAGTGTTCCCTCTTCTAGCCTGGATAGAGCTCCCTAACATCAACTCTTCTCCTGCCTTGAGAAAGAAGCAGGTAGGGATCACACCTGGCTGGTCCCTTCACCCACATGACACGTTCCCTGTTCACAGTGTTCACCAAACCAAGCCCTGACTCCATCCCACAGGTACCTTGGGGCAGGCGACCAGTCACGGACACTGCGTAGACACCTGGCTTGAAAGTACCTGTGGGAAAGAAACACGGAGTGACCCTGGGTGGCATCAGCCACCAGGTGAGAATCCTCCCCCCCTGCACAGCCCCAGCAGCAGCTCCCACTGCCCAGAGAAGGAGCTGCAGCTCCCCAGACTCACTGATGCGCTGCCACTTGGAGACCCAGCTGTCCTCGGGGCTCATCATGGCAATGATGCTGCGGGAGGGAAGGCGGTGAGAGGCTGTTTCCCAGCCGGGTGACACGGCAGTGCCACCAGCGCCGCAGGGATCGCGGCCGGGCGGGTCTGGCCCCACTCACCCGTCGAAGGAGGAGCTGGTGCAGTCATAGACCATCTCGCGGTTGCCCTTCATCTGCAGGTATGT